TTTTTTCTTGTCGTTCGGTGGTTTCCCGTTGTTTTCTTTCTGAGTGTAAGCTATTTTTCTATTTATTTTGACTAAGCACTATAGTGAAAAGATTGCATGTGACATCACTTAAATGGAAAATAAATTAGCAGCAATAATGATATATATATATGTATATATATATATATATATATATATATATATATAAACATATGTATATGTATGTATATATATAAATGTAAGTATATGTACATATGTATACATGCATACATATATACATATCTATCTGTCTATCTATATTTATATGTATATATAATATATTTACATATATTTACATATACTCTCTCTCTCTATATATATATATATGTATATATATATATGTATATATATGTGTGTGTGTGTGTATGCATATGTGTATATACATATATGTATATATTTATATATACATGTCTATACACATATATCTATAGATCTATATAAATACATACATGCACACACACACACACACACACAGACACATACACACATACACACACACATATATACATATATATACACACGCTCACACACATGCACATACGTATATATATATAGATGTATATTTGTCCATATGTACAAATGTACATATGTACATATGTATATATATATATACACACACGCACACACATGTACATATGTACATATGTATATATATATATATATGTATATGTATGTATATGTATACAAATATTTAGGTATATGTATACAAACACACATAAGTATGGGGCAGAAAAAAAAACACAATGCAAAAGCTAAGTATATATATACACACACACGCAAATATATATATACATACATAACGGTACATGTATATACATATATAAATGTTTGTATATGTATTCATATGTATATGTAAATATATGTACACATACATATACGTATATGTATATACACATACATATATGTATATGTATATATATGTACATAGATATATACACATACATACATACACACACACACACACACATATATATATATATATATATATATATATATATATATATATATATATGTGGGTGTATGTATATTTATATATGCATATATATATTATTATATATAAGCATATATGTCATATATATATATATATATATGGTGTTTGTGTGTATGTGTGTATATATATTATGTATATAAGGATATATATCATATATATAAATATATATATACATATATTTATATATATATATATATGTGTGTGTGTGTGTCTGTGTGTGTGTGTGGGTATGTATGTGTACGTACGTATGAAATAATATTAAAGAATAAAAACTACGAGGATGAAGGTCAATAAATAATCTTATAATATATGTGTATACTTTTATTGTTTATTTATATATATTTTTAAATAGAAAGGATTATCGCTATGATCACAACAAATCACATCGATATTCACGAATAACAGAACCACTCAAACAACACCTCCCTTTTTTCACAGCCCATTTCACATTTACACAAACAATCAAACAAACGAAAACCTCGGAAAAATAACACCAAAACCCAACGTAACATTTCTTCGCGGTTCTTCCTAAGGGCTTCCTCGATCCCTGCCACAGTCATTGCCTTGATTCCGCTCCTCCAGAATCGCCAGCGCCTCCTTCGGTCTGGCGTCTGCGTCCGCTGCCTCACCAGCGATGTCCGTAAGGCCTGCGGACGAAGGGACGAAGGCATGAGCGGCGTCGGGAAGGGAAGGGCGGAAGGGGGAAGGAGATTTAATAAACAAAGCGAAGAAAGTTTACCACTTGAGTGAGAAAGACTGAGAGGAGGGCAAGCGATGGTGACTCAGACAGACAGATGGCTACCAAATCAACAGTGAAGAGGGACGTATTAGGGGAAAGTTACGTCAGTATTCATTAAATAAAAGGATTACCTGATGAAGGAGAGGACTTCGATCAACGATAATTGCAAAAGGATGACTGAGAAACATTTCTAAAGAGTGACCTAACTAGCGTCGACGAAGGAGGATCCTTGGGCGCTCACCTGTTGTATCCGATGGAGGGTCGGCCGTAGCCGACGGAGCCGTGGGAGCCGTAGGAGCCGTGGGATGAGCCGTGGAAGCCGTGGGATGAGCCGTGGAAGCCGTGGGATGAGCCGTGGTAGGACGGCCTGACGTAGCCTCCGTAGCCTGGCATCGCAAAGGCCACGGACACGAGGGCGATCAGGGCCACGACGACCAGCTGGAAGGGCGTGAGGGCGTGAGAACAGACGGCGGTTTTGTATTTATGAAAGCTCTCTCTCTCTGTCTATCTATCTCTCTATCTATCATATCCGATAAAAAAGGAAATTGCAAATGAACATTATTTATTCTTCCCTAAAACAGGGACCTGTCCTGTAAGAAATATATGGATCCGGTTTTGCCTCGAAAGAAACCAAATTAAATCTCTGTTTCCTATTTCATACTTACAACAGCTCGTAGGGAAGACATCGTGTTCAGATTTTGTTTTGCTTGCAACAGAAGAGGCTAAGCTCAGTGACTGATGTTGCATACGCTGTTGCTGCGCCTTTATATAGTCGGGCGCCGCTCGGTACTTCTGCGCAGGTTGCCATATCGTATTAATCCTAGACACTCCGTACCGTAAACATGATCTTATTTCGTATTTAGATGAATCATCAGAGAGAAACTAGTCCTGGGATTCTTTAACGTTCATAGTGTTACGATTTTGATTTGAAGTATCACGAAATGGAACACAGTAAGCAAGATCTGGCAAATCCAGAGGTCAGTCTCCGTAGGACATTTTCCGAAACTTTCCCAGCGTCACTAGAAGTTCCCGGGATTTACCCTTCCACTCGGAATATATTCATACGTACACACGCACACATCTAAACACACGCACACATATATATACACAAACAGACACACACATATATAACACGTACATATATGTCTCGTTATTCCACCCGGATGGTACGTTGATCGGTGGAATCTACTGTGTATGAATATGAACATACTTTTTCTATTTCTAACACAATAGATATCTTTTATCAACGATGCTTATTGATGATACTATAGATATTCCTTGCTGTTAAATATTCAGGCCTTTCTTCACGTTATATGCTCTCCCAAAACTAGTGTCAATGTCTTTTTACGTGTACATTAAATGAGCCACTCTAAGCTTATTACTCAGAAGACTCGTGGATTTTTTTTTTTTTTTTTTTTTTTTTTTGGGGGGGGGGGGATCACAAGGTTCCCGGCCCACAGCTTGGGAACAACTGTTGTTGATATTTCATGATTTACGTAATATAGGCAAGTCTTACTATGTACACGAAATGCAGTTATTCATCCATATTATGGATATCACACAGAATGTATTAAAGCTTAATACAATAGATGATGCAGATATTTTACACTATAGATACAGTAGCTATTCCTTACTTCAATTTCCAAAGTTGTCATTTACTAAAATATATATGTGTGTGTATAAATGACCACGTAGATGTGTTTTCGTCCGTGTGTTGTGTGATTGGTTAAAGAAAAATAGCTTTGATTTCATCATGTAGAAGATTTTTTTTGGAAATGTTTGTAGTCAGGTATATACTGTCTAAAAAAGCATATTCACTGCCTGAGGCCTTCCGTAATACATATACAGGTGATAACTGAATAAATGGAAAATGTATGAGAAACAACTATTTCATAACTAAAAGGCTGATTTACGCATAATTATATCCCTTTCTTGCCCGGAAACGACAAGGTTGTGCATTAAATAAATTCCTTTACAATGATCTCTTCAATAACGCAGTGACATTTGCGAATGACAATAACACTTTCAGATCTCTCCCTAGTTCTTCTCAAAAGCGAATTCAGTCATTTCTAGAATCGCCTTCACTCCAAAGCTGTGGCAATAACCGAAATTCAAATCACATTCAGTTTATGCAAACATAGAAATTCTGGAAAGTGTTCATTTCATCATAAGTGTTAATAGTTGCAGTTTTAATCCACCTCCTGGACCGAGGCTCAGAAGGGACAGGGTGAGGGTTAAGACAAAGATCTTTCTACTTCTTTATTATGAAGTATCGTTACTCTGGTAAATTTCCTTGGATAGCAAAATGACCTAGTTCAGTTTTTTGTTTATTTTTTTTTATAACAAACACACAAAATAATAATATATCAAAACAACGTATTAATAGCCGCCAATCATGCCAGATGTTTCCATCGCTCTTCTCAAGCTTCCTTGATTCCTGTCAGAATCGTCCTGCTGCTGTTGAGGAATCGCCAGCGCCTCCTTCGGTCTGGCGTCCGCGTCCGCTGCCTCAGCCGTGATGTCCGTAAGGCCTGCGGACGAAGGGACGAAGGCATGAGCGGCGTCGGGAAGGGAAGGGCGGAAGGGGAAGGAGGTTTAATAAACAAAGCGAAGAAAGTTTACCACTTGAGCGAGAAAGACTGAGAGGAGGACTCAGACAGACGGATGGCTACCAAATCAACAGTGAAGAGGGACGTATTAGGGGAAAGTTACATCAGTATTCATTAAAGGAAAGGATTACCTGATGAAGGAGATTATTGGAAAAAAAGACTAAGAAAAACCTTTCTGAAAAAGTGACCTAACTAGCGTCGACGAAGGAGGATCCTTGGGCGCTCACCTGTTGTATCCGTAGGAGGGTCGGCCGTAGCCGACGGAGCCGTGGGAGCCGTAGGAGCCGTGGGATGAGCCGTGGAAGCCGTGGGATGAGCCGTGGAAGCCGTGGGATGAGCCGTGGTAGGACGGCCTGACGTAGCCTCCGTAGCCTGGCATCGCGAAGGCCACGGACACGAGGGCGATCAGGGCCACGACGACCAGCTGGAAGGGCGTGAGGGCGTGAGAAGGACGGCGGTTTTGTACTTATGAAAGCTCTCTTTCTCTGTCTATATATCTATCATATCCGATAAAAAGAGAAATCGCAAATGAACATTATTTATTCTTCCCTAAATCAGGGAGCTGTCCTGCAATATATGGATTCGGTTTTGCCTCGAAAGAAAACAAATTAAGTGACATCTTCACCGAGAGAATAGTAACCTCTATATGTATCTCTTTTGGTATCTGAAGCTTTCAAAAAGTCATCTCTGTTTCCTAATTCATACTTACAACAGCTCGTAGGGAAGACATCGTGTTCAGTTTTTGTTTTGCTTGCAACAGAAGAGGCTAAGTTCAGTGACTGATGTTGCATACGCTGTTGCTGCGCCTTTATGTAGTCAGACGCCGCTCGCTACTTCTGCGCAGGTTGCCATTTCCTATTTATTCTAGACACTCCGTACCGTAAACATTACTTTATTTCTTATTTCGATGAATCATCAGAGAGAAACTAGTCCTGAGATTCTTTAACATTCATAGTGTTACGATTTTGATTTGAAGTATCACGAAATGGAACAGTAAACAAGATCTGGCAAATTCAGAGGTCAGTCTCCGTAGAACTTTCACAGCATCGCTAGTAGTTCCCGGGGTTTACCCTTCCAGTCTGAATATACGTACATACACACGCACACATCTAAACACACGCACACATATATATACACAAACAGACACACACATATATAACACGTACATATATGTCTCGTTATTCCACCCGGATGGTACGTTGATCGGTGGAATCTACTGTGTATGAATATGAACATACTTTTTCTATTTCTAACACAATAGATATCTTTTATCAACGATGCTTTTTATTGATGATGCTATAGATATTCCTTGCTGTTAAATATTCAGGCCTTTCTTCACGTTATATGCTCTCCCAAAACTAGTGTCAATGTCTTTCTACGTGTGCATTAAATGAGCCACTCTAAGCTTATTACTCAGAAGACTCGTGGATTTTTTTTTTTTTTTGGGGGGGGGGGGATCACAAGGTTCCCGGCCCACAGCTTGGGAACAACTGTTGTTGATATTTCATGATTTACGTAATATAGGCAAGTCTTACTATGTACACGAAATGCAGTTATTCATCCATATTATGGATATCACACAGAATGTATTAAAGCTTAATACAATAGATGATACAGATATTTTACACTATAGATACAGTAGCTATTCCTTACTTCAATTTCCAAAGTTGTCATTCACTAGAATATATATGTGTGTGTATAAATGACCACGTAGATGTGTTTTCGTCCGTGTGTTGTGTGATTGGTTAAAGAAAAATAGCTTTGATTTCATCATGTAGAAGATTTTTTTTGGCCTGAGGCCTTCCGTAATACATATACAGGTGATAACTGAATAAATGGAAAATGTATGAGAAACAACTATTTCATAACTAAAAGGCTGATTTACGCATAATTATATCCCTTTCTTGCCCGGAAACGACAAGGTTGTGCATTAAATAAATTCCTTTACAATGATCTCTTCAATAACGCAGTGACATTTGCGAATGACAATAACACTTTCAGATCTCTCCCTAGTTCTTCTCAAAAGCGAATTCAGTCATTTCTAGAATCGCCTTCACTCCAAAGCTGTGGCAATAACCGAAATTCAAATCACATTCAGTTTATGCAAACATAGAAATTCTGGAAAGTGTTCATTTCATCATAAGTGTTAATAGTTGCAGTTTTAATCCACCTCCTGGACCGAGGCTCAGAAGGGACAGGGTGAGGGTTAAGACAAAGATCTTTCTACTTCTTTATTATGAAGTATCGTTACTCTGGTAAATTTCCTTGGATAGCAAAATGACCTAGTTCAGATTTTGTTTTGCTTGCAACAGAAGAGGCTAAGCTCAGTGACTGATGTTGCATACGCTGTTGCTGCGCCTTTATATAGTCGGGCGCCGCTCGGTACTTCTGCGCAGGTTGCCATATCGTATTAATCCTAGACACTCCGTACCGTAAACATGATCTTATTTCTTATTTAGATGAATCATCAGAGAGAAACTAGTCCTGAGATTCTTTAACATTCATAGTGTTACGATTTTGATTTGAAGTGTCACGAAATGGAACACAGTAAGCAAGATCTGGCAAATTCAGAGGTCAGTCTCCGTAGGACATTTTCCGAAACTTTCCCAGCATCACTAGGAGTTCCCGGGATTTACCCTTCCAGTCTGAATATATTCATACGTACACACGCACACATCTAAACACACGCACACATATATATACACAAACAGACACACACATATATAACACGTACATATATGTCTCGTTATTCCACCCGGATGGTACGATGATCGGTGGAATCTACCGTGTATGAATATGAACATACTTTTTCTATTTCTAACACAATAGATATCTTTTATCAACGATGCTTATTGATGATACTATAGATATTCCTTGCTGTTAAATATTCAGGCCTTTCTTCACGTTATATGCTCTCCCAAAACTAGTGTCAATGTCTTTCTACGTGTACATTAAATGAGCCACTCTAAGCTTATTACTCAGAAGACTCGTGGATTTTTTTTTTTTTTTTTTTTTTTTGGGGGGGGGGGAGGGATCACAAGGTTCCCGGCCCACAGCTTGGGAACAACTGTTGTTGATATTTCATGATTTACGTAATATAGGCAAGTCTTACTATGTACACGAAATGCAGTTATTCATCCATA